CAGGCACTGGTCATGCAGTACTGTAGCCTACAAGCAGCATGTTTGTCCAAAACGAATCACAACAGATGTCAAAGTGCAACTCGATATGCCAGTGCTCCTCTGTGAGGCTGCGAGTTTCTAATGAACCAGACTCCATTCTGCCCTAAGAGGGGGTCATCACCTGTCCCATGCAGCTACACCTCACAGCTGCCGCCATTGTTTCTTCCTTGGTCCCATCTGGCTCAGTGGGTCAGTCCAAATCATTTTAGACCTGACGGACAGACTGCAGTCCTGACTTAACCTCTGAGTGCAAAGCAGCAGATACTTTTCCTCAATTATAATATTCTGTGGGCTTCAAGTAGGCAAGGAATGTAAAGGGCAGAACAGATAGGCTCAATTACAAACTCCCAGGTAGAGAATCCATCACTCGCCCTGACGCCAGTATTCATAAAGCCAGCATGGCCATATGAAATGCTGCAATTAGGTTAACAGGTGATATGCATCCATATTTTTATGCCAACATGCATCTGTTTGATATAAAATTTTGGCAAGTCTGCAGTACCCATTTTGGGGAGAAACCACAAAAAGTTGCTTCAAGAACCCAATTCCCCCATTCAAAAAGATAAAAATGACAGTACATGCAAGAAATTGATAAAATGCCTATTTTATATGCAAGCATATTCAATGTGCCTTACCTGCTAGGTAAATTTCATCTAGTTTTTCAGCAACTTTCTGTGGTAAACCAGCTTCTAATAAAGTCTGGAAGTGCTCAGAATGGGTAACTGCAGCAGAGGTGTCCATTGGATCTTCTGGACCATTTCCATTTATATGCTCTGTGGCCATGTCTCCAGAAATCTGTGTGAATGCAATGAGCCAAATTAATCCTGGGTCAAGGGCAAGGCTACAGTAATGATCAGAAAAGTGTAAAGTCTCAGACTTGTTACTGCTTTTACAGGTACATCGCACCCCAAAATGTTTGATAAAATAGTGCATAAGAAATTAAACTGCAAAACTTTGGGCCAACAACAGTCTGAAGACTCTTCACTATCTGAACTATGAGAAAAATGCCAGCGGTCTTTATGCAGCACAAGACTAAGACCTAGGTGTGATGACAAGACATTTAAGTAGCATGATGCAGGCCAGGGATATAAAACAAATCTTAAATCTTTAACTTTGCTGATTGTACCACCCAGTCGAATAATGGTGGCGCCCTTAAATCGTACGTTAGATTACCTCTTCACTGCTGACTACAGCACAGGCTGATAGCCGATACACGTGTTCTTTCAGAATGAACTCAGTTTCCGGTGACTGACCAGTGAACAATAATGCACCGTTTAATGTTCTGTATTAATGCTGAGATGAGTCAATGTGAACGGAAGGGTAGCGCTTCATAATCCAATTTAACCCAGCTAGAAGTTATATTATTGTTACTATACTGACCAAAAGAGCATTCACAGGGCCGTCAGCCTATGCCGCTGTTTGCTAAAAATAATTTTAGGATGTTAGCTTAGTGTTACAATAAAGACCCGTCAGTGGGAACATTGCACGGGCTAATACATTTTGACCTTCGCTGTGAGCAAGTGCCATTACGTTTTCGCTTGTGTGCTTATCCATTACCATTTCGACGTATGGTTAGAAATAGCGGGTGCGGATTGACCTGCACATGTTTAAGCTAACTAGCATAGAAGCTAACTTGCAAGGCTAGGCTACCATAAAAATCATGCTAGGCTACAGTGATAAAATAGCATAGGCTAACCGGGGTTCCAAGATAGGAGAAAATACCATTTCTAACCGTGACTTGTTTAATAATAACTATTGCACCAAGCGGGCGAATTAAGACAACATAAATGAACAGCTTCCAATTGAAATGAATGCCTTTTGAGGGTTCACTGTTAGCATATAGTGACAATGAGCATCTAAAATCTGCGATCTGTCAAAATAAGCTAGCATGCCAAATTGAGCATACATTCAATGAGGCCATTGTTACCAAGGCGTTTCAAAATGTGAAACACATAATAAGGCGTTTGACTGTAATAAATTAAGCGAGAGTCGTATGGCTAGAGATTTAGCCTGCTGGATGCGTGGTTTTGCCAACGTGCCGCCACATAGGAAGAGTCCATTTTCAAAAAGCCGGTCTGGAGAACTCGTTCCCAGCCACCACCAGTTTCCACATTGTTTGCAACAGCACGGCGCGATTCCGCCTTTAGACATCAACTATCAAGCAGTGAGATGGCTGATTGTAATATTTTGCCCTACCTGCCGCTGGATCACCAACGCGTATGATGCTGATTGTTTTTAAGGGTGGATTAGATATTTAAAATACAGTAAAAGTGTAAAAGTCCCGGCACTGGTCCGGCTTCAGTCATTCACTCTTGATGATGTAAAATGGCTGCCACGTTCACGCCTCGAGTTTTGTCTCGTCGATGGGGTTTCTTGGACGGCCTTGCACGGGCATGCCTTGTATGCATTTACAGTTTTACAGTAAAGCTGCAGAACACAGACAACAGCGCGGCCACAGCGGGGTCCGGTTATGAGACAAGATAAGAGGGAAATGGAATAATAGATATACTGGTATTACGAATTGCTCCTTATGCATTCACACAGAAAAGTGCACTATTAGCATACAAAGTTTCAGTTTACAAAGGAACTGCCCAGCATAATAAGGCCATAGATATTAGAGCCTAATGGCTACATTTACATAGCATGTTTAATTCTTTACTTGTTATCATGAATAAAATATTTTCTGGAGATATCTTGGCCAAAAATATACATTTGTTAAGGAAAATAGGACAACTCAGGAGATTATAAGCAGTGCACTAGTCTGGAAGTTCATAGTGACAATGACAAATTAAAGAAGAAAAAATTGTGAAATGAAATGTGAAATTAAATGAATCGGTTTGTCTCAAGTCTTTTCAGTCCTTAACATAAAGTACATGCATACAAAGCATGTTCTAGTTAGCATCATGACAACATAGCCATTCTGCTAGGCCTATTTGTAATTACTAGATTATAGAAAGAAAAAAAGCTCAGTGTTGCCAGCAGAGGGCGTCAAGCACTAATTTCAAGAGCTTGAAAACTTTTTTTTTTTTTCTCAAATATACAGTGTAATATACAATGGTATGAACATTGCTAGCGTCTTAGAAATTCATATTCATAAGGCTCAGCATGTGCAATATCTGTATTATGCATATTACAAATGTAGAAAAATAATAAATGTTATATTTCAAATTCCATACAAAGTGCTTTTGTTGTTCATGGCTATGGGATTTGTGCAGTAATTTAGAGAATTTATATAAGAGGACAAGAAGAACTGAAATACAACAAATCTGGGCTTCTGACTAAGAGCTTGAAAACTTGCAAACAATTTTACATCTTATAGTGAGGTCCCAATATTGCTATGATTAAAGGAGCCTCGTATAGTGCCTATAGTCCATAGTGGTTGACTATTGAAGGATAGGCTAGATAATTTCCCCACATGATCTAAAAGGTCCCTTAGTGCCTTACACATTTGTTTTATTATTTTTAATTTGTGGTGCCACAGTTGAGCTTGTATAGCACTTTAGTTGATGGCTTTCTGTGAGTGTGCATTACAAACCTAGACCTTGACCTTACATTACATTAATTATGTTTATTGTATGGAAAGTAACCCATAACTGAGCTTCATCCAAAATTAACATCTCATAATATACAAAGTACTTTGCAATTTGAATTACTGGAAAGCCAAAAGATGATGTGATATACAGTAAAGTGGCAAAGATGCAGAGAGCTTTATCTGAGTAAAATGGTTAAAAGACAATCACGTTTCTATCAGGGCAGATTTGTCATCAGTCTATCAATTGATCAATCATATTGAGAGCACAGATAAAAAAAGGACTCCCGTGCAATGTTTTTTTGTGTGCCAAGTCCCTGTCAATAATATCTTATTCCAACCCCTTCTTCACCATATCCTAAAATCTACTTGTTAGTCATGGGCATCTTGTCTGGCAACATTAAACTCAACATGCTTCCTGCTCTATGTCCGAACCTTCTCAGTCTGGGCTTTCTGAAAATAACATGAGCTGTCCCACTGGTAGACTCCTTCATAATCTATTCATTGCCACTTTTCAAAAGCACAGTAACACCCTCCACTCGGCTATGTTTGATTTTTTCACTGAATCCCTAATATTTTATAGCACTTGTCAATCGGACATCAAAACCTTTGCATTACTGGCAATTGTAGCATCCATAGAGATTCACGGGCATAAATAATGTCCAAAAACTATAAAATGGATGTGGAACAATCTCATAAACTGCTGGTCTCTTGAAAGTGTCCCTCAACATTTGCATTGGGAGTTTGCTCAAGGCAGAAGCAAGGGCTGAGTGAATATGGCTTTATTAAAATCATAACCGTATATCATCAATATTTATTTGTAAGTAATGTTGTGAATTATTAATTTTATGCACATCAAAGAAACCAATACACATGGTACACATGGTAAACCAACACCATGGAACTTTCTTGAAGTGGCACCCGCATAATTCCATGGAAACAGAAGTTAAAACCATAGGCCTACTTCAGAAGTTTTATGGCATATATGATTGTGAAATATTATGGACAAAGAAATAAGCAGGCCAAGTAAGAGTCAGTTTTTGCAGGTTTTTCCACATTCTTCAGTGCAATCATACTTTTCAAATTTTCTATAACGTTACACTGTGGGCCTTTAATGTAAATAGTCAAGGTAATGCATATGCCATAATTTTTGAAAAAAAAAAAGAAAAAGTAAATGCATCATAACTAATGACGTGTCCATGTTCACTGTGACATGACAAATAACCTGAGTTACCAAGTAACAAAAGCCCAGGGATTAGACAGAGTGCATTCATAGTCAGGATGGAAGGATGGTGGGGGTATGTTTTGACTTTTCGACCTTAATTTCTATCACTTTGTGCTTTTAGAAGATTACAGGGATGCAGCAAAGTGGTCAATGAGTCAGCGAGATCATTGATAAGGTCGGTAGGCTTTCCATTATCCAGGAAGTGACCATTGGCATATGTTACTATAAAAGTAGGGATGAAGCCGAAGACTTCATTCGCAGTGCCATCTCCCAACATGGTAATGCATCCTCCACTGTGTCATTTATGTTCCTCTTTAGAGTTGAATTGGACATTTGGATCTTGTTTTATTTCACCAGGTGATTCTGACAACAATGGGCTCTGTAAAATCCAGAGGGGTGTCGGTTCTTTTGCTGACTTTCTTTCTCTACTTAGTGGACACCTACTCCTACAGTGACGGTAAAATGAATATCATTGTCCAATTTGAGTTTTAAATGTGTGGTTTGGCTATTTTAATTCTAATTCAAACTTTTCTAGCAGGATGTGAAGAGTGCTCTCTGAAGAGGAATGTTCTTTTCTCCAAGGAACGTCCAGTCTATCAGTGTATGGGTTGCTGCTTCTCCAGAGCATACCCAACACCTTTAAGGGCCATGAAGACTATGGTAAACCCCAAGAACATCACATCTGAGGCAACATGTTGTGTTGCAAAGCACAGTTATGAGGTAATATTTTGTTATACAATATATAAAGGGTAAACAACTATAATATCATGCTTTCATTTATAGAATTATTTTTTGTGTTGCAGACAGAGGTGAGGGGCTCTCGAGTAAGGAACCATACAGAGTGCCACTGTAGCACTTGCTATTTTCATAAAGTTTAACACAGTACACATGCAAACCTCCTTCTAATGCCTTTTGCATGCATATTTTGCTTATAAGTAAAACGGTGTTTCTTGTCATAGCCTACAAGCTGAGGTAGAACATTTATTGTATTGGTTTTTATATGGGCAGCCTGTGTGTTATTTGTGTGATTGTCAATGTTTGCATTTATGATGTGTAGTCATTATAAGCCTATCCAAACTTATTAAAATTCTCACAGACTGAATTGTTTTTTGAATGTGTCATAAAAGTATCTTTCTTGTCTGGTTGGAAAACTTATGTAGGTCTTTTCTGTATTCCATTCAGCATAGTATTCATTAACGTGGGAATGCAAAGTGTCACCAGCGATACCCATCTGTATAGATTGATTCGTAGTTTTAAAAACAAGCACATTACACTTATATATTATATATTATAGGCTAATATCGCAAATGTCTTATGTGTATTTTTTTTTTTTTTTTTTTTTTGCACTCAGTCCTATATATTACATTAAAACGTAGATTCTTATTACAGACATATTTCTTCATAGTAGTAATTCAGTTTACACTATGAGATGGTGTGATGCAACACTCGTCGTCAGTATGGGTCTAATTGCCTGTAATTTGTGTACTGACGGTTGTGTTATGTTAAATTAAATCTACAAAAGCACGATCTGTTACACCAATCCCACACGTACTCCACAAATTCGGAAAATTAATTTTACCTGCCCTAGAGCTTCACGGATTTCAGGCAAAGGATTCCTTCCTGATTTTAGGGATCTTGCACATGGAAGTATAGATCCATGATCTATGTCCCAGTCATAAAAATAATGATGGATCGGATAGAGTCATGGAAGTATAATATAGATGCTATAAATATAATAGATCCATCGATAAATCGGGGGTATAGATTCATGACCAGTCAGACAGACAGACAGACCCATGGACAGAGCCCACGCTGGAAGGCCAGGGTTACCCTCCCCCCTTACGTGCGCGTGCGTGTGCAGCTCTGGCAGCGTAACATCTGTGCGTACGCGGTCGTGATTGTTGTGAAGATGGCGGAGGGGGAGACTGAGAAGGAATATGATACAAGAATAGCATTTGAGGAGCTTCGAGAACGCTTCGAGGGTTTGACCACTGCTCTACAACAGAGTCCAGATTCTCCACTTGAAGCCACGCTGCGTTTCTGCCAGGAGTTCTGCCAGGTTAGCCCACATAAGCGCTCCTCATCCCGTGCAGCTCACAGACCCTCTGGCTTCCTGGCCGAGGATGCGCGTCAACGTCTGCTATAACAATGTAGCTAAGGCGTTAGCAACACAGCTAATTGGCTGGCATTTCAAATTGTAAATATCTTAAATGCATTATTTGAGGCCTTTGTAGAGGCTACACTTCTATCAAAGTCTTGTATTTTCCAAACTCCTGTGCTTGCACCGCGTGTGCTCTGGCGGTATTTTTAAGGCTAAAAGCTAAAATCTGATCAATGCTGCTAACTGGTATGCGGGGTGCCCCTGTCCTGTTCATGCAGTTCTAGTTGAAAATGGACAGCAGCGATGTGTGCATTTTCTATGTGCATTAAACGCATGTTATAACACAGATATGTATAGTTAGGAAATACTTTGTAAAGATCATAACCCCGTGCCTTGACGGGTTTGCTTGTTGGCCACTTTGCTGCAGAAATGAGGTTTTCCAGATGCTGGCCCAGACATTTTACTAATTTGGCAAACCACAATGGCTATATAGACTATATTAGCATTAGCCTGGGCTGTTTGGTAATGTTACATTCGTTTGTGGTCGCTATACGTGTATAGGGTGAAAGTGGTTTCTGACTCCATTACACATTCCTGCCGTTTTTTGTGTGAGTGGCAAACTCTGCTCATGAAGTGGTGGGTCTTCAATGCGGTTAGCGTTACAAATTACAATTTAACAGACAAGTTTAGTTATTATAAGATAAGGATAGTTCAACGGAGGGCACCCGCATTGTCTGCACGCCACGTTCACTATCATGAATAATAGTAATTGACACGGTGGGTTCATTTTGTAACATGCTGTACAGGTTCTCGTGGAACATGCTAGCCGCTGGCAAACAGATGAGGATCCATTGCCTCAGCTACAGGTCTACACTATGGCCATTCTCAACTTTGCTAAGGCTGTCTCCAATCTTTCTCCCGAATGTGAAAACGTACCTCTCCTACTTGAAAAATTAGCACAGTGAGTACATCTTTTCTCATGTTTGTATTTGTTTGTTACACAATTCTCACACGTGTTGTGTCCTCAGGAGTTGTGTGGAGCTGCTGCTCCTGCTGCCCCAGCATGTCCCTGGTGCCTTATGGGTGGAGTTCCAGTCCTCCATCAAAGTTAGTACCATGGTTAGGAGCAATAGGAGACTGCTATGCAGCCATGATTTGGTTCTACATAAATGAAAGATTAAAAGTAAGACTAACATAAAATATTTTTCAGATGGCACACAACCTTTTACAAGAAAGTGGGAGCTCGCAACTTAACCTACTCGCTGTTTTAGCACAGCAAGAAGGTGTTTGGTCCAACACTACTCTCTGCAGCATATTAGCCAATGAAACTTCACAAACTGAGAAAGGTTTGTTTCTGCTCATGTTGGTCCAGTAGTCTTTTTGTTATTTGTAATTTTGTGTTTTTGTAATTAACATAAAATAACAGAAGCTATTTATTTTTTCCGCATATCAATGCATTGGCCTATAGCTATTCACAACCTCAGTGACAATATCAGTCACCACTCTGCATTTGTATTTTTTTGATAATTCCAAATCAAAAATTAAAGAAGATTGCTTGCAACAGATTAATAGATTTAATAACAAAGAAATGTTTGAAAATATTGCAGTCTAACAAACGATAGCATATTAACTGGTTGTGAGTGCTATTTTATGCTTTGTTACATCCTCACACTTTGTGTTCTTCTTGTAGTTCACAAATATCTGGAGTTTGAAGGTCCAAAGCTTCTGACAATGCGAATAAAGCACCTTATCAAAATGGACAGTGTTGACAAAGCTGCTGCTCTGGCGAAGACTTGCTCAGAATATCCTGGATTTGAAGGGAAAGGGACCTTCAAACAGAGCTACCTTCTGTGCATTTGTGTGACAAAAAACCAGGAGCAGCTGATGGATGAGGTCAATTTGTATTCTTGGATAGTGATAAACTGTCAGCATAACCTCAGTCTTTTTAGCCACTGTGTAAAACATTGTTTTTGTTTGTTTGTTTCTAATTTTACAGATTTCATCAATAGACTGTAAAGAAGCTCTAGAGATGATCTGCAACTTGGAGTCAGAAGGAGATGAGAATGGAGCTTTGAGCATATGCTCAGCTTTTCTGAAGCGCCAGCTTCTCCAAGGGGATGTTTATTGTGCCTGGTAAAGTGATCTGCACATTTGTCTTACAGAATACAAAAAACTATTTTATTTTAATCTGTTATAAACATGGTCTAGCTCCGGAGAAAACAAAAATACTACTACTTAACTCAGGCATTCTTTTTAACACAATATTAAATATTGTTTTTATTATTTTCTACAGGGAACTTACACTTTTATGGAGTAAATTACTAATTCGTCGTGAATCTTCAGCTGACGGATTTCTCAGTCGCTGTAAAGACATGGCTCTTCTTTGTAGAAGTGTCTGTCACATTCTATTTCTTATCAAAGTCATCCAAAGTGAAGTAAGTTAGACATTTACTTTATATAGGTCTATGAAATTGTGCACAAAACATGGAATTCAAAGTATATTTGATTACAGATCGGAGAGGTGGGACTGCCTGTGTGCGTGGAAATGTGCATTCAAGCCCTGAAAATGGCATCTAGTGACCACAAAGAGAGCAAATCTACCATCTGCAAAACCATATCATGCCTTTTGCCCAATGATCTAGAGGTTAAACGCGCATGCCAGCTCACAGAGTTCCTGATCCATCCTACAGTGGACACATATTATGCTGTGGAGACATCATACAATGAGCCTGATAAAAAACCTGAGGAGGACGAAGGTCATCCAGTGCCCAATTCTTTACGCTGTGAGTTACTCTTGGCCTTGAAGACTCAGTGGCCTTTTGATCCAGAATTCTGGGACTGGAAAACATTAAAACGCAACTGTTTAGTGCTGATGGGTGATGAGGCAGCTATTGTATCGTCTATTGATACTCTGAATGATACTGATGAACAGGAAGTGGAAGGTGGGCCTGGAAAGCACCCTGAATACAAAGACCTGGAGGATTTCATGCTAACTACTACTAATGAACTAAATGAAATAGCTGATGAAAAAGAGAAAAATAGAGAGGCTAAAAAACTGAGAGAACAAGGTTTTGTGTCAGCTCGTTTCAGAAACTGGCGGGCCTACATGCAGTATTGTGTTCTATGCGATAAGGAATTCTTGGGACACAGAATAGTCCGCCATGCTCAAAAGCATTTTAAAGATGGCATGTTTTTATGTCCCATTTGCGCTACTAGTTATGAAAGCAAGGAAGTTTTGGAGCCACATGTAGCATCTCATGTAAAGCAGTCCTGCAAAGAGAGACTTGCAGCAATGAAAGCCTCAAGAAAGTCAGCCAATCCTCATCAGTCACCTTTACAAAATACCACTAATAACTTAATCAAATCTGAGTTGGATAGTCAGTTGGAAAACAAAGCTGTTAATTTAGAACAAGCCCCTGCTGACCCTAGCCAAGACTGTTTCTGCCCTGTTACAAATTGTGCCAAAGCATTTAAATTTTTCCGAAACCTCATGGCTCATGTTCGTTCTCACAAAGATGATGAAGAAGCCATGCGCTTTTTAGAGATACAAAAGCAGAAAGTAGTGTGCCAGTATTGCAGACGACAATTTGTCAATGTCCAGCATTTAAATGATCACTTGCAGATACACTGTGGCACCAGACCATACATCTGCATTCAATTAGATTGCAAGGCCACTTTTAATTCAAATTCTGAACTCCTAATGCATCGAAAAGTCCATCCTGAATTCAAAGCCAAGTGCATGTTCCCCAACTGTGGGCAAATCTTTAGTGAAGCCTATCTTTTGTATGACCATGAAGCACAGCATTATCTAACTTATACATGCTCTACAGACAATTGTGGAAGAATATTCTATTCACAGGAACAGTTCTTGTCCCACCAGCAGGTGCACAATCCATATGCTTCAGCAAATGCTACAACTGAAAACTCCTCAAATACTCAACAGTCAAATAGCTGCGTACAG